GCCGACAAAGGGCTTTGATGTCGGCAGGGGAGCGTCCAGACTAGCGTGCTGAGCGGACAAACAGCTGATCAGCTGTTTGTCGGTTCAGCGCAGCAGCCATGTAAATTTAAATGAAGCGGCGATTATTTAAATCGCCGCTTCATTTTACTATATCTGGTAGCCTAATCTACATGCCTCTGGCGACAGAGGCATGTAATCTAGACGTACCCTGAGTGTTCTAGAATCCCAAACTAAGACTCTGAACACAGGGAGATCTCTATTCCAAAGGAGGGTTAGGCTTTTAATATGTTGTGTAAAGCTTATTCAGAGGTAATTATAATTCTGAAATCCACAATGGGGGCAACTTACTGCATACAGCACAATGATACTGCATTGAAAAGGAATCCTGCTCATGGGTATGTGTTAACATACACACGCTGCATTTGTACGTGGTTACCATTTAGAAATCAAAACTGAAGTATTTAAATTAGACCACATCTCCATAAAAAGTTACACAGATAAGTAGGTAATTTTAAAGTCATATGATGCAAATTTGATCTCTTTCCTATATTGTTCTCACCATAACAGCAATAATCCACATTTCACCAATATTCTACTAACCAATTATGAGACTATTTTAAATTTGATCAATAAAACCATTGTATGTATTTTTATCATCATTTGCATTCAGTTGGTTTTTCAGTATTTAATGTTCATCCTGATTTGACACATTACCTGTTCATATGCCCAGAACTTAATAGCTGTTTCAGGTGCAATTTTAATAACATTCACACCATTTCCCCTCCAAAGGGAACGAACGCCTCCTTCTTTCACCATCTGCTTAAGGCCACTTGATATATTCATTTTATTTGACTTTGAACCGTGAACCTATTAACCACAGTAAGAAAAAAGAAATGCTCAGATTGGACATAGGACTCATTTTTAAGAAACAAAGGATAAGAGTTGTAGTAAACAGTTAAGTTAAAACTCCCTAGAAGACAGACAGTATAATTACTTGTCTCGTAACAGAACTGTAATTAATCTGATATGCTGCAATATGACTGTAAACTAAGGATTGTTTTCACACCATTAATATATTCTGTTATATTCCTTGAAAGCTAACATTACAACAACAATATTCCAGTCTTTCATTTTTATATAAATTGTGATATTTGGAAGAAATCTCTTCCAAATTAGCTACTGGTTCAAAAGGGAATATAAAATGCTTGTTATCTATAAAATGCAGTACTTTATTCAAAATGCATATTATAAAAACTCTACGTAATGCGCTTTCTAGATTGAGTAGTACTTTCTATGTGGCAGACTCAAAAAACAAAGGAAGCTACTGTGTAAAGTCTTATGATTTTGAAAAATGTGTAAAGTGTTATTGTATTGCTGATCTTAATACACTATTGTAGTGTATACCAGTACTACTGATTTTGATAGGATAGATGTGTTTTCCAGTATCAGTATATTTATTAATTATTTTAGATATCAAAAGGAAACATTTAATATAATATCGGTACCATAAACTCACCTTAAAGCAAGTCTTATTAAAAATGCATTTGAATTTTTAAAAAGCAGCAAAATGCATAAGACAAACATGCAAGTGCAAGCATGCAAAAGACATCAACAAATTAGGGCCTAATTCTGCAAATCATTACGACCACAAGGATAGTTAGGTATAGATCTTTGAAGGATCATTACCTAAGGCAATACAAATTACGAAACAGTATTAAAAACACAACAGCCTGTCTCAAAAGGCTATATTCTATTAGTTTGCAAAAACTCCCATCCAGCTGGAACTCCCTTATAAAACTGTCACAACATGCCCAAATTATTCTTAAGTGATACACCAGAATTTCAAATTGCTTAAATATTGCAACTCACCTGCATCATGACTTTAAGGCGATCTAATGGTGCTGTACCTGTTCGAGAGACAGCACCAGCCACTCCTCCTGATAACAGCTGTCTCCACCACTGCCCTGACTTTTTCTCTTCCTCTGTGAATTCGTCTGGGATAGTCAAGCTATCTCCTATATCCAATACCTGTCACAACACAAAGCAGAAAAGGGGCAATAACTATTTTTCCTATTTCATCTGCTTAGGGATTTTACTGATAGTTCTGACATTTGCTTGACTATATACATTGTCATTGTGCAGGGTGTCTGTATGAACAGGTTACACTGAAGACATAAGAATAGCCATCAAAGATCTGTAATGGGGATTAGGGATGTTAAATTTACTTTAATCAACTAATCGACTAGTTGATAGAATTTGCATCAACGAGTCGATTAGTCAATAAGTGGGGAGCTGCAGTGGGGTTACCTCTCCGCCCTAGGGAGCCAACCTCACTGCGGCTCTGCCTTTTAAATGTATTAAGAGCCGGCAGACTCTTAATACATTTGAAAAGCAGCAGAGCAGCAGCGGGACCCAGCACGAGCCAGGACACTGGATTCCTGGCTCGCACCAGATCCCCCCGCTGCACATCAGCCTTTTAAACGTATTAGGAGCCTACTGGCTGATTCCCAGCTCACACCTGATCCCTGCTAACCCTCTGTCTCCCCTGTCCCCTGCCGAGATGGTGCTGGGGGGAAACCGTCTTTTAAGCTGGCTCCCCTCAGAACTGGCTCCTGCTCCCTCCCCTTAGTGCCTCTGATAGAGGCAGCAAGGGGGGGGGAGAAGCGACTAGTCGCTTACATCCCTATTAGGGATGTTAGATATCGTGTAATTAAATAGTCATGTAACCACATGAAATCTTAGTGGTTACAAGACTATTGGATAGTCCCCAGAGGCAGGGTGGGAAGCCAGTGTGCTCTCGGTCCTATTCCCTAGAAGCCCCCTGCCACGTTACACTGTTGCCTCTGCATCAGAAGCAGCAGTGCGGGGTAGCAGGCAGGAGCCAACCCACAAGGGAGCCAGTTTAAAAAACACTCCTTGCAGAGATCAGCTGCCTGCCACTCCACATTGCTGCTTCTGACAGAATGGCTGCTGTAGGGTGACAGCAGCCCCTGTCCATGGGGGATCTGAGTTCCCCATGGACACAGAAGGCTCTGTGGCAACAGCCCATCGGTGGAGTCCGAGCTCCAGGCTTATTGGTTAATCAAGAAGTTGTCGACACGATGACATTTCTAATGGACATACTGTAATTTCATTCCACTATTATACAATTTAAGTAAGAGCAATTCTATGCTACAGAGTGACCATGCACATGTATGTGTGCAAACACACACCTATGGTCTACATGAAATAAGCAATTTTGTGAAATTTATAATGAAATTGCTGGTTAAATGAAACTGCTGACAGAATATCAATAATTTGAAACAATTAAAATACGTCTCCAACTTGTATGAATACATGAATGCAACAGTTTGTTATCAAATAACTAGAAAGCAACTAGAAAAAAGGATTTACCTTCTGAGACAGTTTTGTGAGGCCTCCCCAAGGGAACAACAAACTCGTTTCTAGTCCAAATGCTTGGCAAGATACTGGACCTTAGACTTTTTCACTGATCCAGAACTAAATACTCACTCACAGGACTACGCGGGGCAAGAAGATGGGAGAACACCACCACGTTTGGGGGTAAAAAGCACAAATTATACCAGCCTGTCTAAAGCTTCTCAGAAAGCTTGAAGTTCTACAGTTAGTTTTGACAGAGAAAGATTTGGGAGCAGAATCTAGGTTTAGAGTCAAAGATGCAGGATATTTTCATACACAAACATAGAGCTAAGAAAAGTAGATCTGCTTTAAAATACAAGCTAAACTTACAGTAGAATGTTTCCAATAACGGACTATTTCCTCAATGTCTGTAGCTGGGTTAAATAAAAAATGATCCCGCCATTCATTCCAGTCCACGGACATTGTCCCATCAGCATCAATGCTGAAATTAAAACAAAAGTTTGAAAAATTGTAACATATCTATAAAACAAATAATAGAATATCTTGTCACACTGCCTTTTTTAAACTTAAAGACCTGTGAGCCCATGCAAACGAGTCCTCACACAAAAGTGTGAAAATCCTGTACAGCAGAACCTCAATGTTATGAATACTAATCTTATGAATGTCCAGTAATATGAACCATTTTTCCCAACCAGGGTAGGTGGGGTAGGAAACAGACACAACAAAAGTCACATTAACAAAGGACAAGTCAATATCCCTTCACATTTCCACTACCTTCAATCCCCTGGAAATCATACTTTGCAGTGGTCTGAAGGACAAGAAAACAATGCAGAGTACCACACTACAACTTATACACGTTGCCTAGTATAAATTTGAGATGTTCTATTTTATAAATCTTTCAATTTTATGAACTCAAATATTTAGCAGAACAGGGATTCTACTATACTATCATATTTGGAAGGGTATGCATGGTTCTTTAGTTCCCTAAGAAAGGAAAATAGAACATGTTAAACTGAAGGTCAACTACGATGGTTAGGCAAATAGAGGTGACAGACATCTAAATATTAGCACAACTCAGATTCTGTCCTAAATGCTTATGAACAGGGCTCGACAAATCGCTGTTTCTACTCGCCTGTGGCGAGTAGATTTCAGCTGGTCGCCCCATTCATTGGCGGCGCGCGCATGCGCAATGCGGGTCTTGAGCATGTGCAATGAGGGGCTGGCGAGTAGATTTTGCCGCCGTTTGTCAAGCCCTGCTTATGAAAATAAAAATTAGTGTTATATTTTGCTAATCAAACCTTCGATTAAAAAATATTTTAAGGCTGATCTGGAATTATGTAAATGTGTTTATGAATAGACAATTGAAGGATATACAGACAGACTCACAAACAATGACTAGAAATACAAATAGTTCCTGACCTTTGTAGAATCTTTTCTGCCTGTTGTTCTGAAATAACAATACCCAAGATCCTGAGGGACTGGACAATCTCTGATGCTTCAATTTTTCCTTAAAGCATTAAAAGAAAATATGTACAAGATAAATCCTTCTTCAGACCTCAGGATGTAAGCTCAAATGATAATCATCTTCTACTTGAAGATTTGAGAAGTCTTTAAACTATCATTTCAATCAAAGCAGCATAGACCATTTAATACACTTTTACACTGAAGTCCTAAATGATATAACTGGATTATATGTATTTATAATATGTAAGTGCATCAACACTTAGACCAGGTCCTCACTATGGGGGAAGGTTGGCTTAAGGAACCTAATTCCAGCTACATAAAAACCATAGCTGGAATCGACACACCTTAACCTGAGCTTCGGCACCATCCTCACAGCAGGAGGTCAACAGGAGAAACACTCCCATCAACTTCCCTTACTCCTCATGAGGAGTAAGTGTACCAATGCCAAGGGGGTGCCCTTAGTGCACGGGTGCACAAGAGTCTGCCAACGGGCTGGATCTGGCCCACCAAGCCACCGGATCCAGCCTGAGGCTGCCTCGCTGGAATCATTAAGCCCAGTGTAGCTGCTGCTGCTGCTTTAAATGTGGATGCTCTATGCTGGGGAGAGAGGAGGGAGGTTTTGTCCTCTGTCCTGCACCCCAGCAAAATCTCTCAACTTCCATTGGCCAGTTTCTGGATAATAGGAGCTGAGAAATTTTGCTGGAGACAGGGGCAGCCAATGAAGCCTCCTTCCCTCCCTGCCCCCTGCAGCCCCTCCACCCTCACTGCCTGGAGCAGAGCCACGTGAAACAGCTTGCCACTGCAGCTCAGGTTCCTGCAAGGCTGATGGCTGGGAGCCACCTAGGTAAGCACCTCCCAGCCAGAGCCTGTATCTGGCACCCATGCCCTGTCCCCCCATCTCCCTGCCACAGACCACCACCCAAATCCTCTGTACCCCTATCCCACTTTCTCCCAGGTCACAACTCCCCCCCAGGCTCTGCTGCCTCCCAGGCAGAGTCTGCCTCTGGCACCCCACCCCTTCTTTCCCCCAACTTCTTGCCCCAGGCCACCACCAAACTCTGTATCCTTTCTCCCCATCTCCTCCAGGTCACAATTCTCTTCCAGACCCTGCATGCCTCCCCCAGGCCAGAATCCTCTTCTGCACCCATAACCCTTCCTTCACCCAAACTCCCTCTCAGACTCCACACTCCCTCCTGCACTCCAATTCCCTACTTCAAGTTCCCTTCTGCACCCCACCTCTGTCCCAGACCCTGCACACCCTCGGTAGAAATGCAGACTTTGACCACTTGCCAAAAATCTTGGAATGCCCCCCCCCCCCCCATTAAAAATTACTGCCCATCCCTGCCTTAGTGGGTCTTTACTAGACACACTAAATTGAACACCAGAAGATCGACCAATACTCTTATAATTGGCCAGCCTAAGATACAAAGGGAAACCAAACTCTGCATTCTCAGTGGACCCCCAAATGATACAGGGCTGGGTAAACAACTTCCTTTTCTGCAGCCAGTCTTTTTCCCAAGTGGAAATGGGGAAGTGGGTGTTGGGGAAACCCGGGCCCGCCCTGTACTATGGATTCCAGCCCAGGGCCCTGTAATAGCAGCTGCCTATAGAAGTCTCCAACACCAGCTATGAGACAGATACAAAATCCCTGGGCTACTTCCACAAGCCTTCCCTAGCACCTTCCTTCTCTCAGGCTCTTCCTACCAGACTCCGCTGGTTCTTGCTCCTCCTAGACCGGGGTGGGCAATAATTTTTGACCAGGGGCCACTTCAGAAATTTTTGAAGTGGCTCCAGGCTGCCCCAGAAGGGATGGGGCCTCAGGCCAAAGAGACGGGGCCAGGACACTTCCGTGCTTCCCCACCCACAGACTCTGATTAGCCTGGGGGTCGGGGAACTGGGCAAAGTCTTCTCCCCAGAGAGAACCGCCAGCTGTTCTGAACAGCTGGCGGTTCCCTCTAGGTACCTGTGCCCCTGGTGGTGGGGGGAGACTTCGCATGCTTCCCCCTTAAGCCCCCAAGTCAATCAGGGCCTGGGGAGGGGGAGCACGTGAAGTCTCTCGCTCCCTACAAGGGAGCACCGCACTTAGAGTCAACCACCAGCTGAGCAGAAGCTGGCAGTTGACTTTAAGTGAGGAGTCCCTTGCAGGGCGGGAGGAGACTTTGCGCACTCCCTCCGCTCCCAGGCCAATCAGAGCTTCTAAGCGTGGCACACTCCTTGCAGGGCAGGGGCAGGGCAGGAGGAGACATTGCATGCTTCTCCCCTCCTCCAGGCCCTGATTGGCCTGCGGGAGGAGGGAGCAACAGGGCCTCCGTGGGCCAGATCAACTTGCTTGGCGGGCCAGATCCAGCCCACAGAGGCCCTTTGGCCCACCCCTGTCCTAGACCCTCTGTAGTGCTCTCTCTGTCCTCTCAGCTTCCTGCATACAGCAGAGAAGCTTTTTTTAACCAGTTTCAACTGGTTCTTTAATTGGCCCCAGGTATTCTAACTAGCCATGGCTTACTTAGTTCTGTAAGCCCACTAAATTAGCTCCAGGTGCTCAACTGCCCTTATTGATTCTGGCACGTTCTTGCTGGTTCTGGAATAGCCCCTGTCAGTTTACCCTGTGAACAGATATTTACTCAGTCTGACACTAATATGCCTCCCTTCCAATACTCTGGCCTGACCCTATCACAACTGCGTAATCAAAATTATGAGTCTGCTCCTAATCCAAATGAAATTCACTGGAGAGGATACAAGTTTGATATTCGCAATACAAGTTCCATCTCAGAAAACAGTACACACACAAAAATTACCTCCACTTACATTATATACAATATTTCCATTACAAAAAAATTATTTAGGTCCTTAAATGTTTTGGGGAAATAAACCATTTTATACTGAATTATTCAGAAACCTAGTTCAGTAATTGGCATTAACATTTTCTTTCAAACTGATTTTTGAACCCCAGGACAAGTGAAAATAAATACATACCATCATTGTTTTTGTCCAGACTCTTAAACGCTAGTTTCATTTTTTTCTCATGGTCTTTAAGGTACTGCATGAATTCTTCGATGTCCAGCTGCCCATCCTTGTTTGCATCCCCAGCTTTAAAAATTTTCTGTTTACAGAAAAACAATTAAGAAAATATTGTTAATCAAAAATAAATTAAAAGTGCTTTGTAATATTAAGATTTGCATAATCAATCATGACATCTCTCACATTTCGGAAGGCAACATTTTTCTTCACTCCAAAAACTGATTTCCCACTCCCATTGGCTGTGAAGATGGTGTCGCCAGAAGGGCTTTGGCTTCCTTGACCATGGGATGCTGTTCCAAGAAGGACTGCTAAGTAGGGATGGAGTTCGCCTTTCAAGGAAGGGGAAAACGGTATTTGGATTCAGACAGGCTAACCTAGTGAGGAGAGCTTTAAACTGGGTGCAGGGGACCAAAGCCCATAGGTAAGTGAAAAACATGAAGGCCTGAGAGATGGCTCAGAAATGGGAGGGAGCATAGGCTGTAATAGCAGAAATAAAGGAGGGACAAGGCAGAACCGGGGGTTGATAGAGGAGGTAACTACAGGAGTTGATAGAGGAGGTAACTACAGACCAGTCAGTTTAACTCAAGTTCCAGGGAAGATAATGGAACAAGTAATTATGGAATCCATCTGCAACCATCTGGAAGGTAATAAGGTAATAGGTAACAGCCAGCACGGATTTGTAAAGAACAAATCATGTCAAACCAATCTGATAGCTTCTTTCTTTGATAGGATAATGAGTCTCGTGGATAAAGGAGAAATGGTGGATGTGGTATACCTAGACTTTAGCAAGGCATCTGACAGTCTTGCATGACCTTCTTATCAATAAGCTAGGGAAATGTAACCTACATGGGGCTATTATAAGGTGGGTGCATAACTGGTTGGATAATCATTTTCAGAGAGTAGTTATTAACGATTCAGTGTCATGCTGGAAAGGCATAACAAGTGGGGTTCCACAGGGTCTGGTTTGGGACTAGTTCTGTTCAATATCTTCATCAATGATTTAGATACTCTTAGAGCGAGTACGCTTATTAAGTTTTCAGATGATACCAAGCTGAGAGGGGTTGCAAGTGTTTTGGAGGATAGGGACAAAATTGAAAATGACATGGACAAACTGGAGACATGGTCTGAGGTAAACAGGATGAATTTTAATAAGGACAAATGCAAACTATTCCACTTAGGAAGGAACAATCCATTTCACACATACAGAATGGGAAGAGACTGTCTAGGAAGGAGTACTGCTGAAAGGGATTTAGGGGTCATAGTGGACGACAAGTTAAACATGAGTCAACAGTGTGACACTGTTGCAAAAAAAAAAAAAAAAGAGCAAACATGATTCTCAGATACATTAACAGGAGTGTTGTGAGCAAGACACAAGAAGTCATTCTTCCGCTCTATTCTGTGCTAATTAGGCCCCAATTGGTGTGTGTTGTGTCCATTTCTGGGCACCACATTTCAAGAAAGATGTGGAGAAATTGGAGAAGGTACAGAGAAGAGCAACAAAAATGATTAAAGGTCAAGAAAACATGACCTATGAGCGAAGACTGAAAGAATTGGGTTTGTTTAGTTTAGAAAAGAGAAGACAGAGGGGACATGACAGCAGTTTTCAAGTATCTAAGCAGGTGTTACAAGGAGGGAGAAAAATAGTTCTCCTTGGCCTCTGATCAAGAAGAAATGGGCTTAAATTGCAACAAGGGATGTTTAGTTTAGACATTAGGAAAAACTTCCTAACTGGCAGGATGGTTAAACACTGGAATAAATTGCCCAGAGAGATTGTGGAATCTCCATCACTGGAGATATTTAAGAGCAGGTTGGATAGACATCTATCCGGGATGATCTAGACAGAGCTTGGTCCTGCCATGAGGGCAGGGGCCTAGACTCGATGACCTCTCAAGGTCCCTTCTAATTCTAGGATTCTATGATTGTACTTCAACACTACCATGCTTGGTAAGGAAGCATTGCTATTTCCATCCAAGTAATGATAAGGCACATTGAGACAAATAAAACAGAACTACATTCAAGAGTCTATGAAATTAGCCAAGGGTTGAATACAATTTCTATAAATTATACATCTACAACTCCTGCACACTATAAATACATGTTTGAGATTGGGATGAAATGAATTCAAGTTATCATCTTGCTTACTAGACATTTAGTCTACATTCAACACCTGTTTGTATCTCAAGAAGTCACAAAAATGGGGGGTTATAGCCTGCTAATCTTTTACAGCAGGGGTTCCAAACTACATTACATGAGTTTGATGTACGTAGGATGTGAATGAATAAAGTTTGGGAATCAATTATTAGAATATAGAGTTTAAGGTGAAGATCTGCTCTCATACTTCAGGATGGATATTAACCTCTATATTCCACTCTCCCCACACGTGTAGCGTTCCAAATGAAACAGAATACAGAATTAGAGATTCACTGGGTGAATCAGAGATTTATTTGAAAGCAAAATTCTGAAGGTTATATTTCAAAGCACCTCACAGTAGGCTTAAAACCTCTGCTAAAAAAATTAATGCATTTTCAGTAAGGATGTTAAATTTCAATTAATCAGCTAATCGAGTAGTTGATAGAATTTCCATCTACTACTCGATTAGTCGATAAGGGGGGGCACTCGGTATCCCAATGCTCCTTTCCCTTAGAAATGTACAAGAGCCACCCATGACTCTTGTATATTTCAAAGGGAAAAAGGCAGAGGTTCCCTCTGCCTTTCCCCTTCTGAAATGTACAGGAGCTGCCTGTATATTTCAAAGGGAGAGAGGCAGCGGAACCACACCAGTGTGGAGCAAAGCGGTCCGCACTGGCAAGGATTCCTCTCTGTGCCTCTTCATTTGAAATGTACAAGAGCCACAGGTGACTCGTGTATATTCCAAAGGGAGAGGAGCAGCAGTGGGACTAGCGCGAGCAAGAGTTTCCCCGCTGGCGACATTTCCCTCTGCCTCCTGCAGAGACGGTGCTGGGGGAGGAACTAGCTTTTAAGCTGGGTCCCCCCAGCACCAACTCATGCTCCCCCCTTTGCTATCTCTCTATGATAGAGGTAACAAGGGGGGGAAGTGACTAGTCAAGTTCCTAATTAACTACTTGATAAGCATTTACTTATCAGGTAGTTGACTAGTCGCTTACATCCCTAATTTTCAGTTTAATTTTTTTAATTCAAGTAATAAATCAGGGCTTTATCTGTACAACTTATGAATGCCGATTGATATTCTGAAACTGGATTATGAAAAACTGCTGTATTATGAACAGAGGCAACTGGTAAGGAGGAACCTGAAGAGCTACCAGCCACATGACCCTCCCCATAGTCTAAGGAAGGATAGGACAATGCCCTCTGCTCCAGGCCCCTTCTCTTCTCCACTCCTTTCCCTGGTCTCTCCCTGCCTCTTCCCTACCTGTTCTCCCAGTCAAGGCTGGGGAGCTGGTGTCAGCAGCAGAGGGCCAGTGCCCCAAACTCACCGGCAGCAGCAGAGGAAGCAGAGCAACACGGCCACAGCTTATTTTACTTCCCCAACCACATTGTTCTGCTTCCCACCAGTGAATGTGTGGGGCAATCCCATCCCTCCCCCCGAGTGGTGCACCAAGAGAGAAAAGTGAGCTAGGGCCACCTTGCTCCACTTTCCCCATCACTGCCAGTGAATGCAGGTGGTTGGATCCCCACTGCGGGTGCCAGGAGACCTCCTCACTAGTGCTCTTGCTGACTACACAGCAGCGCCTCCTGCCTATGGCATTTGGGGCACATATCCCCTTGTGGTCTGCCACACTCACTACCCCGATTATGAATCCACTACTGCTGACAGGAATAGTAGCAGATGCACACCAGACAGGGAAAGTGGTAAATAGTACTGAAATTCACAAAAGTCACGAGATGAAGTAGCTGAAGTGATAAAGAATCTGAAACAAGAACACAGATCTCAATTGTCCCTCCACTTCAATGGACTGATTCTGCTATACTCTGGTTGCAGAATTTGGCATTTTTCCAAGACATCACAGATTCCAACACTTTTGCCACTAAATTTTCTATTTTGTTGCGAGTGCAGACTGGTACCAGACTGTCATGATCAAAAGGAGTGCTGATCAGCACCCAGGGTATGTCTAGCGTACATGCCTCTGCCGACAGAAGCATGTAAACTAGGCTACCCGACATAGTCAAAGAAGCCAGGATTTAAATATCCCCGGCTTCATTAAAATAAAAATGGCTGCCACGCTGTGTTGGCTCAGCGGATCGTCAGCACAGTGCGGCAGTCAAGATTCGGATTGATCAACAGGGGAAGCCTTTGTCAACCGCTCCCTTATGCCTCGTGAAACGAGATTTACAGGAGAGGTCGACAAAGGCTTCCCCTGTTGATCAATCCGAATCTTGACTGCCGCACTGTGCTGACGATCCGCTGAGCCAACACAGCGTGGCAGCCATTTTTATTTTAATGAAGCCGGGGATATTTAAATCCTGGCTTCTTTGACTATGTTGGGTGGCCTAGTTTACATGCCTCTGTCAGCAGAAGCATGTAGTCTAGACATACCCCCGGTGACTGAGGGGTTAATTCAGGTACCTAGCAAAGGTGTTGATTGCCTGAACCCAAATTATCCAATAACAATGCAGGTGGGAATTTCAAACTGGAAAACAGGGTACGTTTCTCTCTTTGGGTACATCTAGACTACAGGGTTTTGTCGACGGAAGTTTTGTCGACAGATACTGTCGACAAAACTTCTGTCGACATAGAGCGTCTAGACACATTCAGTTTTGTCGACAAAGCAAGCTGCTTTGTTGACAAAACCCTGTAGTCTAGATGCAACCCTACAGGCAATAACACCTTCTGTCGACAGAACTCTGTCGACAGAAGGTGTTATGCCTCGTAAAATGAGGTTTACCAGCGTCGACAAAACTGCTGAGTTCTGTCAACATTATGTCGACAGAACTCAGCGGTAGTGTAGACGCAGGTATAGTTTTGTCGACAAAAGTCCACTTTTGTCGACAAAACTCAGTAGTCTAGACACACCCTTTGTTTTAAGATCAGAGCAGTTTCTCCTAAGTATTGAGGGAGATGCTTTCTCTCTCCAATAATGGATTTCTTTAAATGTATAAGTA